TTCTTCGGAATAAGTGCCCACTTAACAGTCATGTTTATCATTAAAACCACTATTTTAGCCAATTATAAAATTGTCGTTTTAAATAAATTTCGCGCTTCATTTCACTTCCCATAGCTGGTGTCTTAAATTTTATTTTTTCCGTTTGTTCAGTAGTTTGATTAGGAGCAAATTAAATTAGGTTTCAGCGGTCAATACTGCATTTTCTTTTATCAAAAAAGCAAATAACCCTTTTATATTTGAACAAGTAGTTCGAAGCATATTTGTGCATAATTTAAGAAAGTGTTTATTTCGTGTCCCTATTTGCTTTCGGCTGTGACCTGATGGTGTTTTAAATTAACGCCACCGTCAGGCGTACTTCAGAATTGCATAAGGTAAAGTAATCCCTTCAAGAAATAAACCCTGCTAATACCTATCAATGTCAGTCACTGTCCACGATAATATTTTGCCGTATTAATTAAAAAATAACTCCAAAAGCATGCAGGACTCTAAAGTGTACACTGTGTGTCTGAAATAATGTTTGTAGCTCGTTTATTTACCCAACTATTGTGGCGCCATTAAAAACGGCAAAGCAAAGTTGGTCATTTCCCACATCATTTGGTGATGTGAGCTCATTATCATCGTGGTCTTGTGTGTAATCTTGCATCAAGATAGAATCCTGTCGCAAAATTGGATTGATAATTTCGGTGTAAGTGGATTTGTGGGGAAATTGAGTAAAGATGTTTGTGCCTACCATAACAAGTGGATCGTTTAAATCCAATTAATGGTTTACTGAAGAAAATGTTAGACAAAACGACTGCTCAATAGCATCGATTACAAGCTTAATCTCCAGTGTTGCTGCTTATAATATCTCGTTGCCAGGGCACTATTTGCAAATCCCCATAAGTATTTCACCCGTTACCAAATAGCTGGCTTACTGCTTGTCCCATGCTGGTCATTCGTTGTTATTTTCGCCACTCCAAGTTTTATTTTAAATGAAAGCCTCCTAATTGTGGCAATTTTCTGCCACGCCTTACCTGAAACTCGAGATTTTAATATAAAAATTAGTGGAAGTTAATAAGGTACTAGATCCCACAAATTAATTGGTTTCGGCATTTTACATTGTCCTTAATTATCTCATTTCCAGGCTTAACATAGCATAAGTGAGGCAAGAATGACACTGAAGTCAGTCACTGATGCCAGTCTAATAAATTGCTTTCAGTTGTGTAGTTAGTATAACACGTCGATGTCAACTGTCTTATCCCTAGTATGTTCTGATCTCCCATGGATGAGGTGATACTTTAAATGCTTAGTAGATATACATACTTTTTTAACTGTTAAAATATACCATAACAAAACATCTCCAATTAACTATTTTGCATAATTTGAATCCACGTTTTGTTACCGATTATACGAGATAATTGGAATGTAACAGCCCAATGATGCGTTTTTTACAAAAAAAAATCAATTGAAAAGCTTTTATTTGCAACCCCAAACAAATATCTTTAGCATAACTCTGAAATGCAGCACCTAAGGCGTTCTTACCATTATAGCCGTATATATTTTCTATGCTATTTTAAAGAAGTATGTGGCGTGCGCCTTTGCTATTTTAAGACTGAGGACAAAGGAAAGATTGTAACGGAAAAGAAACAAAAAACACTCATTAGCGTAATTATAGCAGCTTCTATTTTCTGATCAGCTCCTTTTGTTGATGTTGTTGTTGTTATTATGGCAAGAGTCCTCTCACCAAGGTGAACGTGCATTGAATAATGCAGAACACTGAAATACAACTGAAGGTCAATTGTGTGTAGATGAGGAGAGCATAACACCGAATCACAAGTAGCCGTTACCCTTGTTGAGACCATGTCGATATTATGGGAAGATTTGAATAATTGCTACCTTCTATCGACTTACTCCTGTTTAATGTGCGGACACAGCTTGCTGCCTTTCTCCATAATTACGCAGATTTTGTAAAAGAAATCAATCTACCAAACACAGACATGTCCTTAAAGAACGTAAATGTTGCAACTTGACTAGTGTGAATACAAAGAGATAGGACGTTTTAAAAGATTTTTGAAGTGGGATACACTTCCGTGAAGATTATTTGAAAAGTGTCCTTGTATTCTCAGTAAAGGCAAATTTGTCTAGGATAATTTGCAGAAATGTTCCGTGTACGACAATACAATAAATGGTTAGGTACCTAATTAGCAAAAATTGATGCAGCGGTATTGCTGCATGTTTATAAGGAATTAAAAACAAATCACAGTTGAGACAGTTTGCGAATCTGAAATTAAGTTGACCGAAAGCCAAATTTTGTTTAAATTGACGGCAGGTGGTTGTTTAGCTTTATGAATTTTTGAAGCCCATGCTATGTGCAAAGCGAGTTAAACGCAGCATTTTATGACCCCTTTCCGTGGTGGACAGCTGTTTCTACTGATGAGATCTTGGTAAAAGTTTCTGGCCACCCAGATGAAATCCACCTCATCTGAAATCGGAAATTCTGCTGCCTCTTTGGATGGGCAACACACGCGAATAGATCGTCCCGGTATAAAGAATAGGCACCCGAATGCAATGCACCATTTAAAACTATTTAGTACCCAAGTTTCAATAACCCAATTTGAGGAGCCTAGAAGCAATGTCGCACATTCCTTCGCCAGTAAGCTTTTAGTAGTGGTGTTTAAAATACAAAATATAATTAGCAGGGACCATGACGTTCGAGTACACCCTATCAGGTTTCATGGCTTAAAAGTCGATGATGCACCAAAGGCTACCAAACTTAATAATCATTAATCTGATTGGGTAAAATATTCACTTTCATGTTTGAAATTGAGGAAGATTTATTGAACTCTGCCAACTGATATGCTTAATTTTTGTTCAATTTTGAGGTCAATTAAGTTTAAAATCGTTGGAGTCACGACATATTCTCTTGTTATTATTTGGTTTGACTTTTAGAATTCTTGCGTAAATTGCTGGATTTTACAACTTGGCATGCAATAACGCTGACCAATCTTTCGTTTGCTTAATTTTTTTAAACTGTGTTCTGTGTGATTACTATGTGTGATGTTGGGTCTTGTATGTGTAGCCTACCAGTGGTTCTTCCTTGATCTTGTATTTAGTCTGGTGGTTTTTCACGAAAGTTTAGTGCAACACACCACGGAATAAATTGTTAAGAGGATAAAAATTACTGAAATATAACTTTTAATTTTTATAGCAAAGTAGTTGAATACTCAAAATAGTGACCCTTTTTAATTTACATTATGTATGGGTGGCTCTCACTACTTTTAATACCCGTTTCCACCCTTAGCACAAATTGCACTTAATTTTAATTTTTTGGACCTACGTCGACGTAACGTTTGCCACATTTATAAGAGTGGGATGTAAAATAACTATAATCCAGGCTAAAGTTTGCAACCATTTTCACTGAAAGAGTACTTAAGCTTTGAAAACAATTATGCCTAACCGATTTACAGACATCCATTCATAATTAAAAGGTTTTACCCAGAAGCGGCTTTATAATAATTTAGGAAGCAACTACGTTTCTACGAACGTAAGTTCATTGATTTCTGTCATTTGTCAATTTATGTAGTTATTGCATTATCAACTAATTAATTAGTTAATACAAAGGGTCTTTTAAGGAATATATTTATCTCCTTTATCTCCATTTTTAACGTCAATGACATAAATCATTACTTGAAGAGGTAGCTGACGTAAATACAATCAGATCATTTTCAGGCACTAATATTATATGCAAATACATTGAGGAGGTTGAAGATGTACATTGACTCTATTTCAACTTACCTACATTGAATAAATTGCTGACTGATAAATGAAAAATGTATCTTTATGAGCAAAAACCTCTCCTGAAATTCCGAAAACCGAGAGAGAATCAATACAACTAAGCCTTACCCCACAGTCTAAGCATGATTATTTTATCCTGCAAATTTATCTACTTAGTTTAGCAACCAATAACTGAATTAAAAGTCTGCATACATCTTTCAGTATTTTTTATCTAAACTCTACTAAAGACTAAAAGCAGTCACTAATTTCCCTCAAATGTCTGATGATTAAAAGACCCAAATACGTCCTTAATTGAAGGCTATGACCTTGAGGGAATGTGTGATCTCAAGATATCATAATATCAAAATTTAGAGATAAGGGCTAGTATATGCAGGGCTTTTTGATAATTTTTAATTTTTTAGGGCAAAGTTAAGCAATTATACAGTCAAAAGCCTATAGAAAAGCCCCAAAACGTTTCTAACAATGACCCATGAATGGAAAAAGTGCATTCCATCATTTCATTTTCCAAAAAAATTTAAGAATTTCTAACTTTTTGTCAATGCGGAAAACTATAAAATGGTATGTTTAGATTAGCATCACAATACTTTCATTCATTTTAATGTAATTCGTATAAAACAGCACTTGCAGGCATATATGATGTATTTTGTTAATAAAATATTGTAATACAATAATATAAGTGTTAGCTTGGATTAGTAGAAATCTTTGCAACCAGAATTAATGCCCAAAATACTAAGACAGGTTGATTTGTTTTACTGAACACATTTGCCCTAAGCCTCACAAAGTCTCGATTTCTGCATCATGTATGTCGCATTGAAAATCTTGGGATAAAGTGGTTTAAGCCTTGTCTATATGGTACCAAATTTTTAGTATAAAATGAAAAGAAGCAGTATAGAGAATTTTTGCAAACAATCATTTGTTTTTTCCCTTTATACGTGTGAGTGATTAAAAGGTCACTTTACTCGTCTCATACTTGTTATCTAGCATAGTAATCTCGATTTTTGTAACAAAATCGATGGAATCTTATCTTTTTTATTCATTGTTGACAGCCGCTTTGTTATTTCCTATTATTTCATCCGACGTCTAGTCCGTACTTTCCACCCTAAATCACGCTATTCAGGCGATGATTAAGGCTTATTTGCAACATTTATTTTATTTTTTATTGCTTTTTGACCTCTTCTATTGTATTATTTGTCGATTTCTTATAGATACCTATTCGCTTGGATGAAATGTGTGAAAATGAAGACCGAGAAAAATTATCCGTTGTTTCTTTACCTATTTCCGACCAGTCCTCATCAAATCCGAAAACAAAAATTATTGCACTTTTAAAAAACAAACTTAATAGTATTCAGCTGCATTATCATGAGTTTCTTGCGGAACTCACCTACCTGCAAAGCGGTGGGTTGCTTACTGACTTCGACTCCTGGCGGCGGAAGCGACCACAGGAACTTATGCATGCCCTCTGTTCTGGCCACCTTGATTCTGAGGATCTCAACAAAATCAGCGATTTTATGTCGGGCAATTTGCAAATGCATGAAATGTTTCCTGTTGAAGTTAGCACAACACAAGTCGATGATGTTGACGAAGAGTCAGACGACGATATTGACGTATGCTCATCTTATTTTTTTATGTCATGTGTATGCATTAACCTGCTTTGATGTGCTCTTATTCCTAAGCGGAATTGTTTGGTAATCCTTTTCTTTTTTATTTTCTTAGGGAATATTGGACGAAACACTAATCCCTGTAGTAGTTCGAAGGGAGGTAGAAACTCTCAAACGTGTTCTCGAGTTCAAACGGTTGGGTTTGTGGTCCAGAGATGCAGCCTCGTTATTTGCTGATGATAAACAAAAGTCATCCGATAATAAGCCATCGCTTTCATCATTGGCGGCGCCACCCGAGTTAACACGTCCAAAAGATCATTTGGATTATTTGTTTGCTGAGTTACGGTGGCTTGCTGAGGATTTTAAAAAGGAGAGACATTGGAAAAAGGTTTCTGCCAAAAAAGTAAGCATCTAATTCTGACTCTCACCGCATTTCCTCGATTCTGTTACAAGCCTTACTTTGTGTGTCTAGCTTGCTTATGCTGCCCTCAAAGTCTTTAAGGAAAAGGCCGAGCGTTCACAAAAGGCAGAACGAGAGGAAATAGCTCGGATTCGAAAACAATGTAGTCTTATCGCTCGTATGGTGCGTGATTGGTGGCGACAGATGGATAAAGTGAGTACTGTTTATCAGCTTTTATAAACTATAGGATAGTGATTTATTGATATTCCTTGACCAACCTTAGATCGTCCAAACGAAACAGAAAGCCCGTTTAACGGCCCGACACCAACAGGCCATGTCGACGCACCTGGGTCACGTGATCGAAACCACTGAGCGGTACACCTTATGGCTTACGGAGGGAATCACGGGCGCCAAGAAGCCCCAACAACCTACTACAGCAAATTCCGATACAGAATCGGAGTTTCCTGATAAGGGATTGATGGAGGGTGATACTCCAAAAAAGAACACATCTGTTGAAGATTCAGATGTTGAGTTTGAGGTAACAAATAATAGGAGTTTCTGCATCGGTGGCTTTATCTTTGGTGACCTTTTGCTTAATTCTTGGCCTGGTGTTTGTATCATGGTTGGGTCATGCACAAAGCATGCCCAGGACTTGCTCTCAGGTCACATGCCACCACGGGCCATGAACTGGTCGAATATTCGTCAAAATCAAAGACCAATTTATTCCAGGACTGCAAACACTTTAGCATTAATCAAAAATGTAGAATTGTGGTGTGCTGTGTTTGGAATTTTTTCAAGAGAACAAGAGCCATCATGTACACTCATTCATTTCTTGGGATTTTTTTTCTTGCCAGCCGGAACATTATACGTTTCATTGGCTATAACAAGTTGTGCTTGCTTTCCTGAGATATCTAATTGGGCGACTAGGTGTATTCTATTTCTTCCACCTAGGTTAACGGCTTTGATTATAAGCTATTTAAAAATATTACATGATTATTAATTTTTTTTCCTTTGTAAATGTTTTTGTATGTCGGTTGTCCAAACGCTTCCCACAAATAGGTCTGTGCCAATATGCCCATCTTTAGCATTAAAAGCCTGTAGCCTGATCAGGTGTCTAACAGCCATTTATCTGATCCATCAGGCGGAAATCGAAAACTCTAGTGATGATGAAGAAACCATAGCCAAGGAGGAGGAGATGGCTCGTCAGGAGGTGGGATCTTTGCAAAACGAATCCGATGAGATTGCTGCTCTCTGCGCCGAAGCCGAGGCCTCTATCGATGAGCTCCTCCCGCCTGGCTACCTCGAACACCTTCAGGGATTGGCAGCGCATGTAAAGGAGGAAGAAAATGATCGCGGTACTGATCCGTCCCCTATGAGGGTGCCCAATGAAGATGGTTTTAAACAAGAGTCCCCTGTATGTTTCGCATTCCTTTAACTCTGATACGCATTATAAGTTGCCGGTTTATTGACACTGATAGTTTCTTAATTTTTATTCTGAATTAATATTGACTATTTCAGTCTTTCATTTCACTACTTTTCATTCGGTATTCTAACCGCCATTTTTTAGCGCTGATGGTTTTTTATTTAAATTAGTGCGCATCAATTTTTTTGTGTACACTCATCCGTTCTAATTGCAACGTGGTCGATTAGTTAGGCTTGTGCAAGTTTTCTTTAACGTGCAACTTTAACTTTTAAGGTGGATATTATTTCTTTTTTCACTACATTTACTTATTCAATTGAACATTTTGGCATTTTAGGAACATGCTGATCGAAGGCCTCTAAGGAAAAAGCGACGCCTCGATAGTACATTGAATACCTCAACCGAAAAGACCGCTCTAAACGCAGAATCTGAAGCTCCTGAAAACTATGACAAAAAGCCCTTAACCATGAAAACTAAGGAGGTCAGCGAACTGAAGGCCGAGGCTGACATGTCAATCAACGAACTCTTGGCTCGCTATGGACTGGGTCCAGAACAGCTAGGGAACTGGAAGGGGCAGCAGGATGTCTCGGAGTCTTCTGCAGGCGCAACCTCCACAGGTAGCGATTCGGCATCGGACACTGAAGGTAGCGACACTTCTTCAACCAAAGGATCCCTTTCGGCTGAAACCGATAAGGATGAGGTGGAAGAACTTGGAATACAGGAGCTTCTTTCAGAAAACGAGGCGGAGGATCAAGAAGAATGCCAGTCCACGCTGCCCCCTGTAAGTGTTTGTACTCAAACCTCATGGCGCTCTTTGAAGTAGAACTCCTTATTGTTCAGTTGGATAATGAGATTACAAGTTCTCCATTTTGGCGCTTGTCATCTACCCTTAGTGGAATTGAAAAGGTGTACAACTCATATCCATGGTTGGTGGAACTTGACTCAAGAACTGCCACCGTTAATTGTCACAAATAACTAGATAGTAGCATTTCGGTTGCATTGACTAACGAGGCCTCTAGTGGACTATGTTACCACTTCCTGACTGTGTTTGCTCCTAATGCAACTATTCCGGCCATGTGCAGGTTGAGTCTGCAATTTCATCCTAGAGCCATTGTGATCCTTTCTAAGATCCTAAAGCGAATGCTCAGTGTGCTTTTCTGCTAAGTGCACTTTATTTCGATCAGTGCAATCGTTCGTAATTCGTTTCATCTGCGTACTTCTAGCTTATCCTTGATTTATATGGCAGGAAAACACTCAATAATCCGCCATGTTAGTTTCTTTCGACTCATCGTCTATTTTTTTGTTTGCCAATGAATCATTAGTCTCCATTTCATCTCTTTCAACCACTCAAAATAATGTTTGGGGCAGATGTTTCACAGTGACTGTCTTAGAGAATATTTGGTTTTCGATATTTGTTTTGCTAGGACCCGCAATTGAAGGCGATTACCGATGAGGCGATGAGCGCCCAGCCCCAAGGCAACACCCTCGCCTCTGTCGCAGTGCCCGTTAAGACACCCTTCCTGCTATCTGGCACACTTCGGGAGTACCAAATCGTCGGCTTGAGCTGGCTTGTGGCGATCTATGAGAAACGACTAAACGGCATCCTGGCGGATGAGATGGGCCTCGGGAAGACCATTCAGACAATCGCGCTTCTTGCTCACTTAGCCTGCGAACTCGGCATCTGGGGGCCTCATCTCATTGTGGTGCCCACATCTGTCATACTTAATTGGGAAGTGGAATTTAAGAAGTGGTGCCCTGGCTTCAAGATCCTCACTTACTTTGGATCTGCGAAAGAGCGGAAGGCCAAACGGAAGGTAAGTGACCGTACTGTGCCGTCTCTTGCCAAGTTTTGGCTTTCCTACACTTCTTTGTCACCGGTTCGTGAATGACTACTTAGGTTCTTGGTGCGTTATACCTCGTTAACTCACCTGTCTGAGTTTGCACTTTGGTGTTCTTGTAAGTCATTACTCATAGTCCCATTTTCTCTTCATAATATTACGTCTGTTAATGTCTTAATTCTGGTAGCCGGTGTCATTTATGCAAATTCTCTCGAGGTAGCAGTGCACACATTTGAGCATAGTTCTGACTCTGATATAAGTACACTTGACTGTTGTGATTCACACTGCATTCTTATGAAATTGGTTTTTTTTATTTTCGACCCAACTTCAAACACTGTTTTTTATGCCTTGTAGGGCTGGACCAAAACAAATGCGTTTCATGTTTGCATAACTTCTTACCGCCTGGCGATTCAGGATAGTTCAGCGTTCAAGCGCAAAAAGTGGAAGTACCTTATCCTCGATGAAGCTCAGAACATCAAAAATTTCAAATCCCAACGATGGCAGACTCTGCTCACTTTTAACAGTCAGCGCCGCCTCCTCTTGACTGGAACGCCCCTGCAGAATTCGCTCATGGAACTCTGGTCTCTTATGCACTTCCTGATGCCAAATATCTTTCAGTCACATCGAGAATTTCAGGAATGGTTCGCTTCTCCCCTTACAGGTCAGTCAGTCCCGTGCTTGTTTGAAAGGAAGCAACTGGTTTTTGGTTTAGTTTGAAGCGTGTCCTTTGCATACTACTGAACATGAGCTGAATCAAGCCCATCTTATTCGACTGTTGGCTTACATTCTATGAGGTACATTCCGAAACACGACATAATTTTTTTTCTCTAAACTGCGGTTAGCCTTCTAGTGAAAAATTATTTTTTCGGGTGATATTTTAGGTATGATTGAGGGTAACGATGATTACAATGAGCAGTTGGTGTTGCGTTTGCACAAAGTTCTCCGTCCTTTCCTGCTGCGGCGTCTAAAGGAGGATGTTGAGCGTCAAATGCCAAAGAAGTACGAGCACGTCATCCTCTGCCGGCTTTCAAAACGCCAACGATATCTCTATGATGACTTCATGTCACTATCGACGTGAGCAACCTATCCTGTTTTTTTTTCAAGAAAAGTATGCTCTTGGTGTGTCATTCGTGAAATAGGGGTTTCGTCTGTACGGTCTGATAAACGCAGCCCATCTCCTGCCTTTATTTAGCTTGTTCTCATCACCTCCTAACTTAAGCCTGTTCCATGAAAAGCTTATAAATTCTGTGTTAGCAAGGTACCTGTTTAGATTATCCGGTATTCACTGAAAGCCGATTGTCAAGAGACAATCAGACGCAATAGTTTTATGGTAGTGCTGTCATTTTTACCATACTATCTGCTGTGTCTGATAATATTGCAGCAAAAGTAATTGGTACATTGAAAACTGACATCACTGTATCGTTTCCGGTGCCCAAAATAACCATGCCTTACCTCTGACGTCCTTTTTGTGCTCTTCACAAAACTGGATCCAGTCAAACCAGTCGACAGCTAAATACTGCAAGTTCGCACTATCAGTGTCTGTTTTGACCCGCAAATCCGAAGTTATTGGTTCGAATTTTAGCGGGAAGTTACTGCTTTATCTTTCAGAACAAAGGATACCCTGGCATCTGGCCAATTCCTCTCTGTCATGAATATCCTCATGCAATTGCGGAAGGTCTGCAACCACCCCAATCTCTTCGAGCCCCGACCCATAACCTCGCCGTTCCACATGGAGGATGATGAAGTTCACTTCGAGTTGCCCCGCCTCATTGCGGAAGCCTCTCATCCCTTCCTCGTGGCCTTCAGCTCCACTGCTTCTCCCTCCGCCTGGACGCAGCCCTGCACCCTTGACTGGCTTGACCGAGCCGGCACCGCCGCTCGGCTGCTCGGACAAACAGCTAGTCTGGCCGAAATGGCTCGCGATCTGCCCGGATTTGTGGCGAGACGTGTGCACGATCTGCAGGCCACACCTGGTCTCATTTCGGTAGTAGAAAACTCAGATCCAGTCGACTCGGGTAAAAGCCGTCAACCTAGCATGTTGCCTTTTCTTTTAATGCCACCAAAGTATCTAACGCTCTTTTCACATTTGAATTAGACCAGGTAACTATAGAATTAGTTCCGTTTTTCACCACTTTCATCACATGCCATGAGTTATTTACATGATACCTGCTTAGATCTCCTTACCCTGTCCACCTACATGCCCATTTGTTCTGACTGAAAACCGAATTTAAACTTATATTTAAATTTCATTTTCGTGACATTACCCCAAAATTGATAATGCTGCAATCTGAAGGGAAACGTCAAACACTTCAGTGCGATCTCTTCCCAAGGTATCGGTTGTTTTTATTGCTTTTTAGTTTCAAGGCAGCGCAATTTCTTCACTGGTCTTAAGAGGCGACAGAACGTCGAAGACGAGTCCCACCTTGGTCGGCGACGCCAACCTCCAGTCTTTCTTCCCCGTTCTGTCGTTTTTGAGGTCAATGAGGAAGTCGCGAACACAATGGGCGATTATTATCCCCGTAAGCCGTCTTCTATTTGCCCTTTTTTCCCTTGTTTTTGGCGCACTGATTCTCTAATGTGATCGCTTTCTTTGTAGCCGGTACCAAAATACCCTACCCTACTCTCCCTCGTCCTGTCCTGGATGGGACCGCCTACATTCCAAGTAATTAAAATGCTTTAGTTTAACTTACATTTTCTGGTTCCATATCCTCGCAGAGGACATGAGCTCGTAGTACTGAAGCTACCTCAATGTTGCTTAAACTCTAAATATCACTTTTTGCAGCGTGATATGCTGTGAAAAAGGTAACTAAGTGCAGTATAGTGTCGAAGGAGGGATTTCGTCCACCTTAGCTTGGTCAACTTCTCTTCGTTCCAGTTTAATTAAGTATCAACCTCAGGTACACCCAATGTAATTCCATGTGATGTTTCTTGTTTTTTTCTATCGGCATGCCCTTGTGATTGGTTTAGAAACATATTTCTGGATTACACGTTGATTCACTAATTTGTAGCCCAACGACGTACGAATCACTGGGACGCCGGGATCCCAAAAGGCGTCCTGCGTTCTCGTCAATTGGAACGGCATAATCGTCTTTCTTTTATTTCCCGTGTGAACGAGCGCCGTTGCACCAATCTCCTTAACTGCTCTCCCTCCTTCGACTCCACTTCAATGCTCACCCCTGATCTTGTCTACCTCCTCACGTCAGCCATTATTCGGCGTCCTGTTAGCAAGCCTTGTCGTTTTGCTACCGGATCTTGGGTGTCCTGTCAACAAGCCCTACGCACCTGGCCCGATAAGCGAGCTTGCAGCGGTTTCGATGGCCCACCGAATTACTGTCGCCACCCTGTCGATGTGATTGGTTGTCTGAATGCCGTTGGACCACAGGCAACTAAAGTCGAGCAACTGCAAGCCGTCTACGGACCAGAAGCTTCATTTGCGGTCCGGGCGGTATCCTCGAGCACCCTTCGGCAAATGCTCTTTAGTCCGGCGGATTGTTTGAATTATTTTGCCGATGATTTGTCGAAGTAAGTTACCTTCTGGTTCTCCAAGTCTACTTGCAGCCTCCCTGTATCTTCGTCCAAGAGTGGTTTTTCCCAGCACACGCGCACTCGGACACCCGACAGCTGCTAGTCACAGTGCGAGGTGTACGAACCTTGACGTCGTCTTGTTAATGTTTTGTTCATTTGATTTTGACATTGTATCGACTAAGTTGTAACTCACCGGTACACGGAGGCTGACTATTTTGATCGTACTCTACTTGGGAAGACCATTTGGGTATTTTTTCACTCCGTCCCACATGATCACATAATTATACTACATTATTGTCTTAACTTGCCTATATAACGCACTTTTAGAGTTGACTGTCTAGTTGGTTGATAAATTGTATTGTGCAAAGCTGATTAATGCGGTGTCCTGTCGTCGGAGGCTTGGCAGCAGGAACTTGTCCTCTCTGTTTCTACAGTGCTCTACGGGCACCTCACACATACACGCTGTCCACTCTGTCGTCTCGTTTCCACCACCTTCTCTTTGTTTTTTGGCACCACATGCGTTGATATGACCAAAGGTTGTAAGGTCGCTGTTCATTGCTGAGACGCATACGATTGCTGGTGCGTGTGGTTTAGCAGGATGCTGCAAGTCCTCTATTCTACTTTTAGATTCCTTATTACGACTCCATCGGCTGTCTCCTCGGGCATCCGCCTCCATGTTTCCTGTCCCCGTGTGCATCGCTGTGAGACTCAGCAGGAGGCCGTTTTCGAGTCTCTACTTCGACCGTTTCTTGATTCTGCAGGCGTTTTCAGCCACTGCTCCAAGACCTCAAGTGTGCATCGAAAGGCAACTGTGCCTGCGAAAACGCGTTGTCCATGTACTAGTCTCACTTTCCGGTCTTGGTTGATGCCAGCCCAGTTGCACCAGGTGAGCAATAGCCATTGCTTCCAGTTTCCTGACCCACGGCTCATCCAATACGACTGCGGTAAGTTCCAATTTCTACTCATTTGTACTTTATTGTATTTTGCTCTTTGGCATTTCTCTAATAACGCTGTAGTTAGCTTTCTAGCAGTTGAGCACCATAATTTGTGGGCTTGTTAACATTTTGTCCATGGACTCTCTTTTGTAACTTCTGCCTGTTGACGCGCCATGCTCACGCTGATTTGATGGTTGTGTGAAACATGCCTGAAATGATATTTAATCAACCTCCAAGCAGTTAAGGCAATCAAATCTAGTCGATGATTAGGGTATTCTTTAGACATACGGATGGGTTTTATTTAAAAGAAATTCCAATGATGGCGGTTACACAGGGCGATGGGCACTTGAGGTGCAACGGTTTAGTAGGCTTAAGTATCTCCAAATGGCAAGGATTGAATTTTTTGTTGACCCCTAACCTATTGGACCTGCGATATGCAATTTGCGCATTACTATTTCACTAGGCAAACTTCAGCGCCTCGACCTGCTCCTTCGAGAACTCTATGCAGACGATCATCGTGTGCTTATCTTCACCCAGATGGCGCGCATGCTGGACATTTTGGAGCAGTTTCTCGCCTACCACGGCTACCGTTACCTTCGATTGGACGGCACAACGAAGGTCGAACAGCGCCAGGTCCTTATGGAGCGTTTTAATATGGACTCACGCATATTCATCTTCATCCTTTCAACTAGATCAGGCGGTCTGGGCATTAACCTAACTGGTGCCGACACCGTCATCTTTTATGACTCCGATTGGAATCCTACGATGGATGCGCAGGCTCAGGACAGGCAAGTTACCACCCTACTTCCACATGCGGGTCTGACCGAAACACCTGTAGTTTGGTTTTGCCGGTCTTTTTTCAAATCACCCTACCCTTGTTTTTCTTGGTGGAACGGAAAGTGTGTCGTCTTTAAGCATTTTTACAGTCGCCTTAATTTTATGCATTAATGGAATCAATTAAAATCACATGCAGACGTTGTGTTTAAATAATTAAGTTGTTTACACTAATTTATCCTATTCTTCATTGAATGCGTGATGTGGAAGTACGTAAACAGCTTGTATCGGCATTCTGCAAAATTACCTTTGTGTATTGTTAGTGCCATGAGAAGATATAAATTTAGTATTTTAAAAATGACTGCTTATTATAACTAAGCGGACTAATTTCGTTTTAGGCGAGCTCCTATTCAATTGTGCTCGGTAAACTCTGGTTGTCCCGCCTTTGCATTGAGTAGTTTTTCGTTAAAACGTCAGTAGTGCTGCTACAAGGTAAATTGTTTGTTTAGCGCCTCCACCAGTTTTTTTATTGCGAGTATGCTGCAGAGTCGAGAACTCGGGGCCCGTTACAAGCAACAAACCGTTGGTTGAAACTGGTGATAAATGCGGCCACCTACGGCTGTGGCGTCGATTTGTCGGCAGTGAGCCCAACTCGAGCAGTTGCGTTCTTGCCACTGATTTAGGAATCGTTATTTGATACAAGCGACCTGCTTTTTGTTAATTCACGTAACGTGGGGACTAATAGGATCTGTTGCCTGAGCCACCGCGAGACGAGTTTGTCTAATTGCTAGAAGGCTTTCTTGCTTTAATCCAAATCGGAAGCGAATATAACTCTTGCTAAGCACATTATGATTCCAGGCGAATTAATTGCGCTTAATATACGTCGTACATTTATAACGCGCAGCCGTACAATAGTATTTTCCCTCGCTGTTGCCGTTACTTCTGTTTGCCACTTTTGGTCTTTAAGTGTAAGAAAAGGCGGTGCACTGTTTCTGTCCTCTATGCACCATTTTGTGGCCTCATCAAATGCTCCGCAAAACTTCTGATTTGAGCGATTAGGTGTTTTGGCATGGCACACACGAATCGCTGTCAAGATTTTCCATGTATGATGATGTACCATTGCTAGCGACCAGTCTTGCTTACGCCTCATGCTTAATCCATTAAATGCGGTTTTGGACGTACACAGCATTTTTGTATCTCGCTAGTGTTGACAACACTTGTCCGTTTCCCTTTTGTAGGTGCCATCGAATTGGTCAGACTCGTGATGTCCACATCTACCGATTAATAAGTGAGCGCACGGTTGAAGAGAATATCCTCCGCAAGGCGAACCAGAAGCGCCTGCTGAGTGATGTTGCCATCGAGGGTGGCAAGTTCACTACGGCCTTCTTCAAGCAGAGCATTATCTCTGATCTCTTTGCCGAACCATCTGGCCTACAGGTAAGCACCAGTGGTCAACCGCTTTATGGGGGTTCGGACATTTTTTCTGAGTTCACGACTCCTAGATAATCTCACATGTGGTATTTGCACTCTTCTGTTTCAGAATTTAGAAACAACTGTAACTATTTTGACTTGCTAAAAATTTACTCCATTTTCTTTTAGAATAGCAATGGTGTATAGACGGTGTGGCTAAGTTCAATTTGATTGAGCATTTTCGTTTTGATTTTTCTAGGATTTAGTGCAAGATAAGGAAGAACGCGAGGCGGCGAAAGCAAAAAGGGCAGAAGTTGTAGATGCCGAAAAGGTGCCGTCGAGTGTAGACTCTCCCCCTTCGCCCCCTCTCTTAACCACCCGGAGTGGGCGTCAAATCCGGTGGAAGGGTGCCACCTCCATTCTCCTTAACGCCAAGCATTCTGCGTCGGTCGCGACGCCAAACCAATCCTCCATCACAGACTCCCAGTGGGCCGCCGCTTTGGAGGCGTGTGAAGATGACGAGAACGACAGGGCGGCAGCCAAGCGAGCGCTAGATGAAGCGAAGGTGAACATTGCCACTGTTTCATTGTAACGCAGGCTGTCGCTGAAATAGTGTACTAACGCATTTTGGAGCAATGCTCATTAGTTCTCACAGAATATTCTCCTCTTCGAGTCACTCTTGTCTGCTTTTAAATCAAAATCGCTTTCTGCGATTTTAAAGTCGAGGTGATTTTCATAAACGCATTTCGTAAATGAAACTAGAAAACGAGGCAGTGGGTTAGTCGTTTGTCATGCCAATTTTTGCCCTTATCTCTAAAATTTTCCTCGACCAACGCTTGCTCCTTTCCCATGTTTGAATGTATTAAGAGACACTTCTACGATCTCCAGTCAGTTGCTGTTGTAATTCGGCGAAGAATTCATGGCCTAATAATTTAATGTGTGCACTTGCATTCCGCCTATGACCTCTTTTGGTCGTTCTTTTGTTTAGGCTGAATTAGAGGAGTTCGATGAATCCAAACCGATCGATAGTACCGTCAACGACGATGGGGACGCCAAAACAACTGCAGCAGAGGATGCTGCTCCTTCTATCGAAGGCTCGACATCTGATCCCTTGGCTCGATTTGCCAAGAAACGCCAAGAACGAATACGAAGCGAAACCCAGGACGCAGTCCTAACTGACACCTCTCCTGTGAACTTGACCCCTGAAGCATCGGTCGAACGGGAGTTGGCAGAGTTTGAATCTTTACTTCGACCCATTGAACGGTTTGGGGTTAATCACTTGGAGAGCTTCCAAGACGATACGCTGAACCTGGAACTAGAACAGGTTGAGGTACGTTTCGCTTTCTTAGTGCTTTGTCTTTTTTTGGTTTTCACACTGACTTTCAGCATCTCCTTGCAAGTTGTCCAGATTGTGTTTGAACGTATAGTGTAGTCTATTATAAATTGACTAACATTAAAAAATCTACTTTTAACCCGAAATTTCCTATCTGTTTCAGGTTTAGTTTTATACATAATGCGCCTTGACTTCTATTTTGCGGTGTCTAGAAGCGTTCGTCGTAAATCGAGTCGTGTAATTTTCGTTTCAGCCATGCCAGGTACTGGGTATTTTTCCACAAGTCAATAATTCCTCACTTGCACCAGAATGACCGCAATCCCCAAAAAGTATTTCCCTAGATGTTCTCTCAAGGATCTTGTGTACCGCTTGCGTTAGTTTTATCTAAATAGACCAGTAATTTCTTAACGCTTGTTACTCTTCATTTTCTTGATCACTACTAGGCACAGATTGAAGAATCGAAGAAGGAGTGGAAATTGAAAACTCTGAAGGCCCTTCATGAAGCTGAAGAGGAGCGAGCTGAGCTTGAGGAAGACGAGATTCTCTATTGTGATCCTAACTACGACCCTGAGGCGGCGCGTCTTGCTGAACTGGACGAGCTAGAGAGGGCAGAAGAGATGGAGGAAGCCGAACGAGGTTTTAGAGGTCGACGTGGCCGTGGCGCTGGTCATTTCCGTGGACGAGGACCTCGTGTCCGAGGTGGCGTGACTGGTGCAGGGAGAGGTTCAGTGCGACGGGTTGATAACGAACGTCCAGTACACAGAGTAAGTGTCTGTGAGAGTATGAGTAATGCCATTTGGTTGTCTTCTGTTAGAACTTTAGTCCCTGATCGTTGTCAGCTGATAACCGTACTTTATGGTGTTGGCTATTTTTCTCAAGGTCCCATCTGAGCGCTCTATCCGGAGTCGAGATAGTGATGCTAGCGGTGTGAGCTCTTCCACTACAGCCGCAGCTTCCAGCCGTTTTCGTCATTTTCCACCCTCGTCGGATGCCGATGATCTCTTCACGGACAAGGCAGCTTGGTTTCATGCGCGCATTCCCGAAAGCAGCGGAAGTCGTCGTCGCGCCGCTGCCCCTGTCTACGCAGATTGGGAGGAGGATGCCGAGGACGAACCGGAGGCCACTGATATTTGGTCTCCATCTAACCGCCGGGCACTTTCTTCTGCCACTGTCGCTGGCCCTCCTTCAAAACGCGGAAGGGGGCGTGGACGAGGCGGTCGTGCTGTGGCGACACGTGGTAAACGACGTTTCACAGAACAGGGCCGATATGAGGTAAAGGGAGTTGGTAGGGAGGATGACTACATAAAACGAAGGCGATACGTAACTCCTTCAATGTATGCTGGTGAAACGGAGGATCCCACATTCTTTTCACCACCGGCAGAAGCTTACGCTAGAATCAAGCAACCTTCGTCAATGAAAACAATGCCTCAATCTCAGAGGTCACTGGTCTTTGAGAATGCCAAACCCTCAACCGCGCATGCTGCGGATAAATATCAGGTATTGTCTTCATTGTTGATTTTCTCGACATTGGTAAATTTATGCTCCTGAGCGCACACGCCGTGACAATTTGAAAATACTTATTGGCCTAGCTAGATCGTTTCCAAAAAAGCACTAACTCTTTGTTTAGTATTCATGCATTTAACAAATACCACACTTTTCGTGAAACTAGGGACTCAATTTATTAAATCGCCATCCGTGCCGATGGTGGAAATGAATTACTTTGTTGTTTGCTTGATTAAAGTGGGCACTTTCGAACCGCTTTTATGGATGATGCCGAATAGTGCAGTTGTTAGTCTCAGGCCAATCTTTACTTCTTGACTTGCGTTTACACGGTCAAAAGGTGATCGTGTGCCCTTGTCAGGCATCGTGACGCTTCCTCGTTTCTTGCTTTTGCTTCGATAGTACAGTAATATTTTGAATTCCTATGACAGACTCTATTTTGCATCTCCGATCCTGCGCTCATTTTACAATAATAATCACTTTTGTTGTTTTTAGTTTGTGATCATATGCCGAACCCTATTATTCTTGAGTTCTTAATTCCTTTAGCTCCTACTATATTATGGTGCTCTTTAAGCTCTCCCTTGTTATTGTGGATTCTACATCCGGATGCCTAGGCTCCCAACTTTGTAATCTGCGTTGAATTTAACTTCGTTCTTTTGCTGTTTCGTTCATTTAACACAGCAATATGAGCAACGCCAATCCCAATTGTACCGCCGACGTGGAGTTGGCTACTCATCCCCAAGTCCCCAAATCCATTTCACCTCCTCGCCGTTCTCGGGGCCGCTTGGGGCCTCTGGACGAGGCGCCAATCGCCATTTGCCAGGAGCAAGAAATCAGACCTCCTCCTCCTCCTCTTTGTCGGTTGACCGAGGCAGCATAAGTATGTCGCAACACAATTCCAAAGTCCTCAGCAGCCTTATGCAAGTAGCCGCTGATCCCATGAGTTCTCCATCGATTCCTCAACCGCCTAACTCGATACCACAACCCTGCTATGAGGAGGAGGTCTCGTGCAGCTATCAGGTGTGTCCGTGTAGTAATTGCCCACATCATCAGTAATTATACTGTGGACCTTTGTAATACATTATCCGTAATTTGCAGCAACTAGCCTGCGAGGTTCCACGAATATCGAGAAACCTACGAACGTTTACTAAGATATATTGTACCTGTTGCCTAGCAACTCTTTTTTAATTTCCACACAAAGGTGTCGATTTCCGAATTTTTAGTTATCCAGCTAACATCATTCCCATGATCTCGTGAACATTTATTTATCTCTAGGTCATTGTTAGACACTGCGTGATTGTCCGGTCGGTAAAATGTCAAATTACTGTTCTTATCGAGAAAACTTGCGACATTAACAACGGCTCGAGACTTCGTTAGACCGTCAATCCAGGATTTTCTGAAGCGATTGCTTAAGTAACAAGTCCTCGACATATCAACAGCTTAAATCAGACAATTTACTTCGCATTTATTGAAGGAGCTAACAAGTCCATCCACTTATCTTTCGCAGCCTATCAACAACCAACATGAGCCTCAAGCCAGGTTCCAGAACTCACAACGACAATCGAACGTGGGCCCCCAACCCAAGCCACAATCCCTTCCCAAACCGACCGTTTGTGTACCGATGCGTTCTGCCAACATCGCCCCGCCTCGACAGTATCAATCACCTCCAAAGACCGTTCCCACGGAGCTCACTGTCCCGGTCCAAACGCTCTCCAACGGTGTTCATTCGGTACAGCCCATTCGCCAAGTTCTTGGTACTTCTGGTCAGCCTGTGTTTGTCATTACCAGACAAATGAAAACCACTTCGGGTATGTAGATAGCAGCATGTTTCACTACTACACATCTGTCAATATCAACTCGTGAGCGGATTTAATCCGGTTGCAATGTTAAATTTTGCATTTTTTTTGTTTTTGTTTCCAGGGGAGGTTTTTCACCAAAGAATAACTCAACCGGTTCAGCCACCAACTCAGTTCGTGCAAGTTGTTCGCCGGATGTCTCAGGGCCCAAGCTCCTTTCAACCTCGAGGTTTGTTTGTCGGCACAGCGGTGCCTCCAGCTGCCCGATTTTCTAGTCCTGCAACACCTCCTCCGCTCATCAGGGTTGCCAATGCGCCCACGCCGATCTCCACTGTCTCCTCACTGACGCGCGTTACAAGCCCCTCCGCCGTTTTGCCTGTTGTCAACAGCGCAAATCCCAACAGCGTCACGACGCTTCCCGGAAGAAGAGTTATTCGTGTGGTTCGGTCGAGCGCGCCGAATGCTATCCGCATTTTGCAGCCCAGAATACCACCGTAGATGAGAAAGTTGCTTTATTTTTTGTACATAATGAAATTACGAGAAGCCATGTCACTTTCCTTGTCTATCTGTCTATGTGTATAGATCTGCCCCCCTCCCCCGATTTTTAATTTGTATAAAATTTTTATCAACGCGCCAGCGGGTAATAATGAGATTCCCTAATTACTGTTGCCGTCTTTATTACAATGGGTAATATGGTTGTAAATCAGAATTTGGAAATTGAGCGTCTTGTACTTCGTCGTGAAGCGGTTTTGTTAATCTGGATTAACCGATCAATGGATGGTTAACTCGTAAATTTGCTCAAATTCTGTACGCAGACATGTGTACAAACTCAGAATGCAACGTGCCATTTGAGACGATTAACTCCTACATATCATGAGGTCAAAGTGGAAAACTAATTCAGTCAGTGTGGTACCTTCGCAACTACACTAAGCATTGGGAATAGGAACGTCAGTGATTTATGCGGTGAAGGGAATGAGGAAATTCTGAGGGCGCATTTTTGGATCAATTACACACTCGTAATCACAACCGTAATCTATTTGCCGGTTTCGGTTGTGTTCGTCTGGGGTATGTAGTGACTATTAGGAGGCTCATAAATTTCGAGGTCGCTGAATGTTCCGAAATAACAACTCATGATTTGCAACCCATGTGTTCCCTGGGCCTAACGAACCAATGCCGATCAGATTATAAGTTTACGGTGAGCACAGCATATCATCCTGTTGACGAAAAGTCGCATAACGAAGTCGTGATGTAATACATATAGGTATAAATAATCTCTCTGGCATTGTAGACTACACATCTTAAAGAAATTGCCACCGAAATTGGGTCATTGCTCTTTTCGAACACCCCAAACCTAACCAGAAATCTTATGCTGTCTCCCCACTTATTGGCAAGATTAATATCTACGTGTCATAATCTTGGACGCCACGATCTAGGGTACTTGCTTCCATAAAACAATGGAATAGTGGCACTAATAAGTAATTCCAAAAGAAATGTGCACATGGCTAATCTACTAATTGCTTAAACTCTCAATGATGCCAATATGCAACAACATAGATTCATACCTACCAAGTCAAAAACGCGTACAATTGATTTTAGGCAATTTAAACCGGCCGCGCATTATTGCGATCAATGTTCACGCGCCAAGCGTTTGCCTTGTGCTCACGACTTGTAGTCACAATTTGATCGGCTGACGCATTTCTAGTCAGCTGTTCACATATCTGCACTCGGACGCAGGAGACAAGTTTGTAATGAACTCATCTCGTGATTTGCCACCTGATTCATCATGGTTTGCGTGACCTGGAATCTATTTTGACTGATCATTTTGAGAATGTGCAACCAGGAAGCCTGTCCTAGCTGCAGCCAAGGACGACAATATCATAATAATCAACCCGTTAGAAGATCTGCAAGACGTCGTCAAAATTGTAAACGCAGAATACCAAATCCTAGATCTTTCCCTGGGTATGATCCTATGTTGTAAATTGCTAACCTTCTTAGGATTTTTCACGGATCCTACTTATCGCATCCACGCCTTGCCGTGGATGTTAACTGCAGAAATCCATTGTCCTCCTTTAGCTCATTCAATTCTCAGGAACGTTGCTATTGCCCCCAGGATGTTCCACACACTTGGACACAAGATTCACAAACATCTGCTGCAAACAGACTACCTTTTTGCAATGATCCCGCCATTATGCTTGGCCCTCAACTCATTCAGTCTTCAAATTACCGATTTGAATCGCATAACCGTGCTTTTCCTATGCATGCTCCATACCCGTTTCCCCCCGGAAACTTGCAAATTCATTCACCTCAATTTAACGATTGGCTTCGCGAAACCCTCTTATGCGCACTTTTAGATTACTACATCAAGCAAAATAATATTGACCCCATGCACCCTAGATCACAAACGGATGAGGATGATGGCATCCGAGTCATAATCCGGCCTTTGAAGTTAACAGATCTCCACCCCCGCTTTCAAAGGATTATAAGGATCTCCTCCTCCCCTGCAGCTTTGAGCAATCCTCGGAGTTAACCTTCAACAAGGCTTCTTCTAGCAAGCTAGAAGCACAACCGAACACCACTTCTAACTGACGGTAGATGGCAGACCATTTTTCAGCGAAGGCCCATGGGTTGGTAATATCTGTGCTTTTACTCATATTTGTTATCATTTTGAACGGCGATGCTGTTTGTTAGATAAATAATTGAAAATTTAGTTACGGCTGCGTACTTTCCATTATGTTGATTGTATTACCTTTCCCTATCTATCTCTCTATTCAAATACACATTCTAGTGACCTTATTTTTGGGCTTTTGTAAATAAAAATCATCGCTGTCGCGCTCGCAGAAGCCTCGCTTTTAAACCCTTACTGTTATTTTACCAAAATATCTATCTCCACAGAAATCACCACACCAAAATAAAGCTAAAACACAATTTTTCAGTGTGTGCTGGTCCGTAATCCATCCTAGAAACGCTGTTTGAAGCAGTAATTTGAGAAAATGGAACTAAGCACTACGATCTGCAAACTTTTTCCTTAAAGTTTCCAATCTAGCAAGTGGGCGCTAAATGGAGAAGGGTGTTTGCACACGATAATCAGCACGTAATCAAGGCGACGTGCATCTTACGATGTAGTGAACTAAAAACGAGCCCCGTGAACCTAAACGTTGGGCCTTGACTTTCAGTTGGCCTCATGTTCACCACAGTCAATGAAACTTCTACTAACGAATATTCTGCAAGCATACTTAAGTTAAAAAGCTTAGTATTTATCTCGATAATGCCCTAACAGCACAAATGAGACGCTCCTAGCAGGTTTCTAAACACTTTTCTTTAGCGTGTCATAGTTGTGCCCGAAGTTGCTTATTTCGTCATCTCGCTATTTACTGTAACTATCGTTCAGTTTATAGCAACTATTATTTGCAGGCCGCTGATGGTAAAGTGCAAATCAGGTAATCGAAGTAGGTCTAGTAAATGATATCACAGGGTGCCATTCACTCAATAGCACAACCCTCTTAATTTGAATTTTTTATTACCAAGGAAAATTGAGAGTTGTAAGTGCACTTCTTCCGTGATCGAAGGTAACAATACGGTTAACATTTTGCCGCTACACTACCAGTACTATTTTGGTGAAATTTATGTAAAATAGGAACAAATTTAGGAATTTATTAGGTCTGCGGATGGAGTTCATTCGTGTTGGTACGACAATTAAAGCCAGGACCATCGATCATACCCAATTATTTGAACACGCCTGCTGGGTCCCGAATATCCTGCAAGTCACCGCTATGGAAATGGGCTGTGAGTCATAACATGCTTTCATACAAGCCGTCATCCGTGATGTGAACTACACTTCATCTCTTTAACGACTAATGCACTTCACCACTTAATCGCCGTCGTTACCCAAAATACATCCACTGAACTCAGTACCCAATTACGAAAATAGGGAAATTGCATGACAAACACAAACTCGGCCATACCAAGTTGACCTTAATATTTCAGCTATGGCGACTAAGCTA